ACATTCTAGAGTAACCGGAGTAGCAGCGAGCTTCTCGACTGTTGTCGGCACCACACACCTCTTCCTTAGATCCATTCAGTGTGGAGCCCTGACCCAGATACTGGTAGCTATCCACCGCAAATCCGACGCATCCGGATGAATTGGCCTCCGAGCTGGTTGCATCAGTGAAGAGCTCGACGATCACAGACGACGTCGACAGCGCATCAGCGAAGAAACCGCCCGTGGAATCGTTGCCACGGTATTGCAACACGCGAGTGTCCAGAGCTGCAGGGTCCGCTGCACGCACTTGGACATAGTCGCTCTTGGGTAAATTGAACTGCTTGAAGTGCACCGCGATGAAATTCGCCAACGGGTTCGTGACCAAATATGCAAACCGTGGTTGCGCAGTGGAGTCGTCAGTGGACTTTGGGTACTCAATGGCGGCACCGCACCCCACGCCGAAGTTCTCTTCTTCGATACCTGCAGTCACTCCGTCCGTGCTGCTGCTATTGGAATATTGAGCAGTTGTGAGCGACGACAGCGAGGCAACAAGCGCCATTGCTGATGCCACAGCATGGTAGAACAGGCGTGTCATTGAGATTTTACACTCCGAGGAAAGAGATGTGGCTTGTCGGTCCCAAGAAGGAAGTTGTGGAATGAGCTGCTTGCGACGATGTCTTCATGCTCTTTTTAACGCATTGCAAGGGCAGATCGCATGGAGGAGCACAATGATAAACTCGTACGCTCACTCCGTCGCAGCTACCACCGGTAAACTCCTACTGGAACCGCGACGTTCTTGCTGCTCAAACGCAGACTCGAGTGGTGGTTTCAAGGTGATGATGTCCTACGCTTTAAATTAGCCATTCTTATCGAGCCAATTCTCCACCGAAGACAAATAAACTCAGCACCGTTATTTGCCATTTTTAGTTGCCCGCAAGCGATGGATCTGCGATCTTTCGAAGTTGCTCAAACGTTATTTATGGTGACAGCTTCTTGCTACTTCAGGCTCCGTCATGTTTTCGGACCAGCAAGAAGGAAAACTTGTTGGAATACAGGGACAATTTCTGAAGTACAAAGGGTGGTGTTAAAAAACACCGAGGGAAAGAGGGAAGGGCGGGTCCTTTGACGTCGTGGCGTAGCTAAAACAGTCCCCAACCCGTAATAAATCACCGACCTTGAATTATAGCACAGTGAGTCAGAGAGGCACTTTACTTCTTGGCCGTCTTCTTGACTGTCTTCTTAGTAGTCTTGGCAGTAGCCTTCTTAGGGGCCGACTTCTTGGCCGCAGCCTTCTTCGGGGCCGCCTTCTTGGTGACCGTCTTCTTGGCAGCAGCCTTCTTAGCGGTAGGCGACTTCTTAGCCGTCGTCTTCTTGGCCGGGGCCTTCTTGGCCGCCACCTTCTTAGCAGCAACCTTCTTGGCCGCCGTCTTCTTCGCCGTAGGCGACTTCTTGGCCACCCTACCAACCTTCTTGACAGTCTTGGCCGACTTGTCAGACACCTTGAGGCTCCTCTTCGTGGAGGCAGCGGGTTTGCGCAGCTCGGGCGAGAGCTTGTACGAGCCCTTGATCTGAATGAACTTGCCGGCATCAACAGCTGTACGCAGAGCCTTGTTCAGGTGGTGGCTAGCGTAGTTGTCCTTCTTGTTCTCCACGATCTTGGAGATGGCCTGACGGGACGAGCCGTTGCGCTCCTTAAGCTCCTTGATGGCGTCCACAATCAAGTCAAAGTAAGAAGGGCCGCTTTCGCCAGCATTCTTAGCCGCCGGGGCCTTCTTGGCCTTCGGCTTCTTAGCCTTAGGGGCTTCCTTAGCGACGGGTTCGTCCTTCTTGGCAGCGGCGGCCGTCTTGGCCTTACGAGCCGAAGGCGAGCGCGTCGTAGCGGGGGAAGCAGTAACCTCCTCAGTCGGAGCAGTGGTAGTGGCGGGCGTCGGCTCGGCGGCCGCAGCCTTGGCGTCTTCGGTGGGAGCCATGAGGACTTTAGAGAGAGTGTGAAGAGTTAGCGGGGAGCTGTCGGAGCCGTCGGCGTCGAGTTCTTTTCTGCCAGTCACGACGAAATGAAGGGATTTTTGGGGCGAAGTTTCCCGCGAAAGTTAAGTGAACCAATCACAAAAGAGTGTGGTAAGGCTCCGCCAATTATAGACTAGAAAGCGAACCGACAGGCGAAAACAACTGATTAGGGGACAAGGAAGGGTTGTGGAGACGTATTTAGAATTATGTGGACACATTTGGCAGTGACTGTATACTGCACGGACGACTTTAATTATTGTATGCTTACCATTCCCTCGTCACAAAGTCCATCGAGTACCTCGAAAGGCTCCTCGTGTAAAGGTAACTCTCCTCGGGTAACGGTTAAATAGTTCCAGGAGAAGGACCAGGATTCGAATTACACCCCTTACCACTAGCGCAGTCTGCGCATTCCTTGACAAACGTTTCCATATCGGCATACATGCCACGCCAGTAAATGTCCAAGCGCAGTCCTCGTTATCCCTTGATGTCCTCCTTGAAAGTCTTCATGTGCATAGTGCAACTCTGGTACAACCAGGTGTAGCTCATTTACTTTGCCACGAGGCCGCTCTAGTGTCGAGCGGGTTGATCGATATAGCACGTCCCTGGAATCCAGGACGAAATCGTCGGCAACATTGCCGCCTTTTGCGTTTGAGAGCGTGTCATTGCCCTACTATCGCCTCTAGCGAATCACTTGACCAGCGCCAGGACTTCATCTCCGTCCTGGTGTGCTTTGATCCTGCGCCAACGCTCTTTCTGATAATCAAGAGGTCCCAACATTGGTTCCTGGTTTGCACGACCTTGAACATCCTGGGGGCGGGTCACCACTGCGAATACTCTGGCAAGGATGGACAGTGATTCAAATTCAGGACCATTCGGCGATTCATCCTGGCGCTGAGTGCTCTCAGCTGGCTCATCATGAGGCTCCACACTGACTTCTTTCGGCTCTGGTGATTTCATGAGTTTTCTCGTGAATCTTGGACACTAACAGGAGGTGAATAATTTCGCTTGAGTCTTTCACCTTCCAGGAGTGGCCAAGGGCCAGAGTATTCGACGTCAGGTAGTCGGTTCCTGATTAAGCTCCCGCTTGACGTGTACCGGCCAAATCGTCTTGAACTAGTCACGCAAGGAATCGTAGCTGTATGCCGTGGTTGACCCGATCGGTCAAGCGTCGCAGTGATTATGATGTGAGCGAGGTGTTCACGCACCTCCTGGCCGCCCAGAAGGTTTGGCCTCACGTCACCGTCGTGGACCGGTCATCCACGACGCACATTGTGCACAGAGTGAGCGATGGCCCTCTCTGCACGGCTTGCGCAGTGCTGTTAACTGACGAATCCCCGCGGCGACGCGGGGGTGAAGACCAACTGGCGGTCGAGCAAGGGCCCCCGCAGATGTACGAGACGGCGGTCGAGCAGGGGCTCCCACAGACGAACGAGATGGCGGTCGAGCAGGGGATCCCGTAGACGAATGAGATGGCGGTCGAGCAGGAGCTCCCGCAGACGAACGAAATGGCGGTCGAGCAGGGGCTCCCGTCAATTGAGCCGGTGGTCGAGCAGTTGGCGCTCCCGCTGAACACTACCGCGGTCGAGCAGGGACTCCCGCTAGAGAGGGGTGACATCTCGTCCAGCGAAAGCGACTCATCATCCTCGAGCTCGCACTCGAGGCGGCGAAAGAGGAAGTCGAAGCGGCGTCGGCTGAAACCTCGCCGAGAGCCCGTACCAAGTGACAGCTCACCGACGGAGTCGGCTCTGGCGTGCTTGAGTATGTGGAAGGTACCTCTGGCCGCCGACGAACACTCGAGCTTGCAAACCCGCTTGGCGAAGCAGGGTCGATCATTCGAACTTCAGGTCTCTCCTGGAAGAACTTCCCTTCGCGACTCGAGGACGATGAAATCGAACAGATTTTTTCCTGATCACCGACGCCGATTCGGCGTCGCTCGAAGTGAATGCAGTCAGTGACGACGACGCCCAAAGAGCGCTGAATCGAAGTGGGCCTGCAAAGAAGCGCTACGCGAATCCGGCAATCCAGTCTACGAGTCCGCCCGCGAATATGAAGATGTCTTTTCGGATAAGATCCCAGCTAAGTTACCAGCTGACCGAGGAATTCGCCACGAGATCGATCTCATGCCCGGCTCGAAGTATTGTGTGACGCGGCAGTGGCCGCTCCCGCGAGATCAGGTCCAAGCTATCGACGACTTCTTCGAGAGCCGCCGCAAGGCGGGTCATGTGCGTGAGAGCACATTGCCGCACTCCAGCCCGACCTTCTGTGTGAAGAAACCCACGGGTGGGTGGTGCATCGTCCATGCCTTCAACAAGCTGAACGACGCTTCCATCTCTGCCCAGACGCCGATTCCTCGGAAGGACATGGCTCGACGCAATGTCGGGTAGTGAGGTCTTCAGCGCCATCGACTTGACCGATGGGCTCTACCAAATTCTCATGAGGCTGAGCGACATACCGCTCACAGCGGTAAGCACTTCCAGTGGTACATTTGGGAGTGGCTTGTTATGCCACAAGGCTTGAAGAATGCTCCCGCCATGTTCAATCGCATGGTATCTCATGTGCTACGCCCGCTCCGCGATTTTGCACCGAGTTACTTCGACGACATCTTCGTACACGGTCGCGCTGAGGGAGGCCTCAGCGCGCTTGAAGTCCACTTGAATCATCTGAGGCAAGTCTTCCAAGTGATGCGCGAAAACAAGCTATATGCCAACTTGAAGAAGTGCATATTCAGCGCGCCGGAGATTCCGGTGCTTGGCTGCTTTGTGAGCAAGAACGGCGTCCGCGCCGACCCCGAGAGAGTGTCGTCGATATATGCGTGGCCTACGCCACAGCATCCCACTGAATTGCGTCAGTGGCTAGGTCTCACAAATTATCTCCACAAGTACACAAATAATTACGCCGGATTGATCCAGCCGCTCTCTTCGTTGTTGAAGAAAGATGTGTCGTGGTCGTGGACTTCCGCACATCAAGCTGCCTTCGACTCGGTGAAGAAGAGGCTCGCCGAGGCCCCAATCCAAGCGCTCCCGGATGACTTGAAGCCCTTTCACGTCGTCTGCGACGCGAGCGATTTCGTCATCGGCTGTACGCTGATGCAATTCAACGATGAAGATCGAGAGCGTGTCGTGAGCTACCAGGCCAGACAGATGAAGCCGGCGGAGCGTAATTACCCTGTTCACGACAAGGAGCTCCTTGCGATGCGCTACGCTCTGATCAAGTTCAGAGTGTACTCGTTGGGTGAGGATACCTTCGCGGTGTACACCGACCATGCATGGCTGAGGACAGCGATGAAGAGTCCCTGTCTATCCCAGCGGATGGTCCGCTGGCTTACATTCTTCTCTGAGTACAACTTCGTGGTCCATTACAAGCCCGGCAAGAACAACTTTCTCGCCGACGCTTTGTCTCGGTGTCCCGACTACGACCCACGTGGTGCACTGGTTCGACAAGCTTCGCTCGATGAAGACGATGTAGACGAGTGTACCACGTGCGAGGCGTCAGGGGTCAACCTGACGAGCGTCTCCACGGTAATGCCACTTCGCGACGAGATTCGAGCTGCTTACGAGTATGACTCGATGTACTCCAGTATTCTGGAGCATCTCCGCTCCCCCAGCGCCGACACACTGGGAGACCTTTCCCGCTCTGTACGAAACAAAATCCACCGATATTGTCTCGAGGACGAGCTGCTGACGTACAGCATCGACAACTTCGTTTGCTGCACATGTCGCTGTGCCTAACGACTCCGATCTGCGCTCACGGATTATCCATGAGTTTCATGATGCCCCGCTGGGCGCTCATCTCGGTCGCGAGAAGACGTTTGCCGCTGTGTCACGCGACTTTTTTTGGCCCCACCTGTATAAATGGGTGCGTAAGTGGGTGCACACCTGCGAGATCTGCCAGTGCGTGAAACCTGCCTCGTCTTCGCAGGATCCATTGCGTCCTCTACCAGTGGCCACCGAGGCCTGGCGCTCGGTGTCGATGGACTTCATCTTCGAGCTCTTACCGATGCTAAAGGACGTTCAGGTGTCTTGGTGTTCGTAAACCGCTTCAGCAAAATGGTCTACCTGATTCCGGTGTCGGATTCGATCACCGCGGCAAATACCGCAGTGCACTTCATCGATGCAGTCTTCCGCCATCATAGCCTTCCTGAATTCATCGTCTCCGCTTCTCGTCGGTCTTCTGGTCGAAGCTCTTCCAGCTACTAGGCTCGAAGTTGTTGATCTCCACAGCAGCCCATTTGGAAACAGGCGGCCAGACGGAGCGCGTAAATCGCGTCCTCGAAGACGTCCTTCGAAGCTACGCGACGTCGTTCTCCAGCTGGAGCTCGTTTCTGCATCTGGCCGAGCTCGCGCTGAACAACGCGGTACACGCGTCGACTGAGCTGACGCCCTTCTTCATTAACAACGCGTGACACCCGCGTGTCCCTGCTCTCCTCGCCGTGGGCCATCCCACAGCGCCGTGTGTCTCTACTCTGGGTGGGGAAGAAGCTGCCGACAAGTCGTCTACTCCAGCTCCGATGTTCCGGCGGCAAC